AGATCTTTTCATCATATATTATTGCGATGCAATATATTGATTAAATTTAACAACTTTTTGCAGCAATTTTTCTACTATTTCTCTGATATTTTTTCCACTTTTTACACAACTTTTCACACGCGATGAAAACATAGATGCACCCGTTGGCGGCATCACCGGCGAACTGTTGGTAAAATGCAACGAGTTTAACAGCAGCGCTCAAACTTTAAAAATGAATGCATCAGTGCCCGTCAAATGGTCTGGTAAATGACGAAGGGTTTTGGCTTCTGCTATCTGCCGGATGACCACAGTTTAAAGGCTACTCTGCAAATAGTTTTTATGCTTACGTTTACTTAAGTACATAAATACAAATATACATATACATGTACGTATATTATTAGTTTTGGGAAGTGTCGAATTCTTTTGAGCATCGAGTTCTTTGGTATCGATATTTTTAAGTATCGGGCATTTTTAGAGAGTACAGAATGCTCTCTTTAAATATATCAAATTAGTCGAGTTATCAAATTTTGTTGAGTTGAATTATCGAAACTTATAGACAAACTATATGTGGGGTCAGTTCCAAGGGCTGCCAAATACCTTCAAAGATGTAAAAGATTTTAATCACGTTTTGGTTCGAAAGCAAGAGGAGACGACATGCACGACAGCGCACCAGTTCAGAACTAGAGATTTTCCCACGGGGTATGCACTATTTCGGGTTTTGTCATATGCATTATTTCGGTTTTCACACGAAACTGTGCACGTATGGATTACTTCGTTCTTTTTCATATGTGATAAGTGTCCATAATTTTGAAGTGGTCTAAGTCACTTCATACCTGTTGAGCTTAAATGGCCGGTTACTTGTAACGTAATGCATCTGTGGATCGCTCCACAGCCATAATTTATTAATACAACCTTTTAACTTTGGTTGATGAAGTTTAATGAACAACCGACGCGTTCAGATACAGGTAAATGATCATTTAAGCACAGCAGGTATGAAGTGACATAGACCACCATCAAAATTATGAACACATATGTATGTATGCATTATTTCGATTTTGAAACAAAGTAGGTAGAATTAAATGCAATATACAATAGCTGTAGATGGCATTTTTAAAACAACAATGGAGAGCATAATTGTTTACCTAAAGAGTGCAAACCGAATATGCAACAACAATTGTATAAGAACGATCCTTAAAGTGGCGTCGTATTTATTCGGAACTCAGTAGTCCACTAGTATAACAGCAAATAAATAAAAAGAAATATCGACCTTTGCGCACTGGTATAAATAAGGGCTCAACTGTAACTTAAGTTTAGTTCAAGAACTTGATGTCACACAATAAAGACACGTTTAAACTTTCTCTTCTTAACTGGTGCAATCGGTACTGCTATAGCCAAAAATTGTCGAAAACAAAGGCATATTTGCAGTTCAATCTTTATTTAATAACCAAATAAATTGCCAGCATCAAAATCCAGGCAGTTCAAATATGTCTCATAATAGTAACCACAATAAGAAAACACAAATCAACGTGGTCAATTTAAAATATCCAACGTTCAGCCCTGAATTATTGGAACGAATGAATCGGATAAATATGGAAGGACTTTCAAGAAGTTTTGCAGGCGCCTTTGATGAACTTCATGAACTTGAGTATTGTCCACATGATACGGAAAACTTCGTGAATAAGGAAGAAGAGGAAAATAAATTTAATGGCGAAGAGGAACGGATGGTAACGGATCCAGTTAAAAGTGTTGAGCAGGAAGCTGTTGAGTTAGCGAATGCCACAATTTCTGAAACGGGAGCTTAAATACGTAAACAAGAAAAGTTTAAAGACAAACAATCATGAAATACCAACATATTAGGGTTGCCAAAGTTTTCCAAGCTATTCAAAAAGTATGAAAAAATATACATAGTACAGTTTCAAATATAAACAGTATTTTATTTGAACGAAAAAGTAAAAACGTTTTTATATATGGGGAAATTTTGCGTACTGGCATATTGTTGCCGCCCAGTGGTGCCAGAAGTGCGGATTTCGCCCCATTTTGGGGATTTCTGAAACCATTTGGGGATAGATTTTGTCGTTTGGGGATGTGGGGATTTGATGGGGATTTTTATTTGATTTAAAATATTCATATTGAAATTAAAATACATATATTTTATTGCCTGCCCTTAAAAATTTCTCAAACAAATATTTTCTTTGTAAAAGTATTATTCGGCGCAAATGTCTGCTTTGATTGGCTTTCGCTGAAAAAACAATTTTCCCTCACTTCATTACACCAAATTGTAAAAGGACAGCTATGATTGGCATTCACTGAATGAACTACATTTATTTCTGATTTCCTTGCGCCAATATTGTCGGTTCTTTATTTAGTGTAAAAAGAAATTTACAAAGTGGCAAGAGCACAAAAAAAAAACATATTAATTTTAGGAATTTACAGACAGCAATGGGAAGAGGAACCTTGGGCCAAAGGTATGTTATTAAATAGTCTCCAAAAACCAAAAAAAAAAAATAATTCACCAAATGATCACATAAATATGTACACATAAAAATCTGTGAAAATTTGTAACCGAAAAGTATTCAAAACTCTGATTAAAATGAACTAACATAAATAAGAATACATATTTTTTTTATTTCATACTTAAGGGGATTTAAATGGGGATTTAGGAGGCAAATGGGGATTTTTTGGGTATAACTGAAGCTCGATATGGGGATGAGCTACAAAAAAAATATGGCAACACTGTTGCCGCCACAAAGTAGCTGCACTGCCAAATGCGGTTTCTATACCTTTGTTAATATTATTTTATATAATTTATTATTTATATTCAATACATAGTTATTCAAAACAAGACTAACGGTTTAAATGACCAGTTTACTTGCTAAAATCAGGAAATTTCTAGTGCAACTCGCACAAAATCTATTTGTTATTAAGGTATAACTTTTTGAGCGGTCAGACCTAAAGCTTGGGATTTCTAGACATTTATTTGTAGGTTCTGAGGAATAAAATTACAGGTATTAAACAAATGTGTCAGTTACCAAATGCGAGAAAAAGGGCTGCTTACAACTGTAACTGAATTTCGCGTATTTTATAAAAAAAAAAAAACGTGAATTTTCTTGTGGTAGTCGTTGGGCGGTACTTATTTAACATTTATGGGTATAAAATATACTTCTTCAAAATATAAAATATAATTCTTCAGAAGAAGAATCCTAGGTTAAAGGACAATGTGCTACTTATGATTGCCAAAAAATCTTCTTGAAAACACGCCTGATCAGTGCGTAATTTTTGTACTTAATATTGGTTTTTCGTTGAGCACAACCAATCAAGGGCAAAAAATTCATAAGCCCTGGTGTAATATTTTGTGTTTGTGTATTTGGGTCTGTGTAAGAAATACTCACCTCTAAAAATTATTTTAATGTTCAGTACTGAATAGTCCTTGCTGATATAAATGCGAAAGGTTTGTTTGTTACGCTTTCACGCTTTAACTACTCAACCGATCTTAATGAAATTTTGCACACTGGTGTCATTTAACCCAACTTATATCGATTGGACAAAGGGGCACGGCGCCTCCCATGCAAACGGAATTTTTCGTACCTTACCTCCGAAAGTATTTGTGGTAGAGTATTGCAGTTTGTAATTTTTTTTTCACAATAATTTTTATTAAAAACGGCCCAAGTTTAATAAAATTGTTGAATATATTTGTTATAAGGCCATAAATAACAAAAATAAAATTATTAAATGTAAGTAAAAGGTTTTTTTTTTTTGCAATTTTGGTCCAATAATCAATTGTTGATTTTGTTTTATTATTATTCTTTAGAATATTTCGGTAAGCCTAATACAAATTAAAGCGAACGAACGTGGCATATGTACATTTTGTACATATTTTTGTTTTTAGTTTTTTTTTTTTTTAATTTAAGCAACAAAGAATATTTTTAGTTTTTTTTTTGTGTTTTTAATATTTTAGTGTTATACATTTTTTACTTAACTTATTTGATTATAGATTAATTTATTTTAACTAAATATAGTGATTAAGAAGTCTTTTAATTTTTAGGTGCGTACATTTGCTTAGCTACAACGATATTTAATTTACATGCAAGAGATTTTTTCTTATAACTGTATTTATGTATGTATGCGTTTTTTTTTCGTTAATTAACTCAATAATTATTTAATATTATAATTGTCATTATTTAACTTACTTCTTATTAATTTTTTTACAGTGTAAATGTCGCGCAATATATCCAGCTGCAGCAGCGCGCCTTTCATAAGAAACCCATATCGAGCGCTGTGTAAAGTGCGCGTATATCACTATGCGACGAAATGCGCCAGAAGGGGAAGTTGTACGTCTTCGCTGCATTCTCCTCCTCGGTGCCATCGCCTATGACTACGTAGGTGCCTTTGCGACCAAATCGTGTCATAATGCGTTCAAAGCAGGTGTCATGGCCTGGAAGTAAGGGAAAGGAGGAATTTTATAGAAATTTGATTTTATTTCTTATTTTCGTACATTTCAATTATTTTCATTAATTTTTATTTGGTTTACTTATTTTTTTTTTGTTATATTTAAATTTTATTTTATTTTAAATTATTGGATTTTACTTATTTTGTTTTATTTTATTTGACTTGATTCGATTTTACTTTATCTTATTTTATTTCACTTTATTTTAATTTATTTATTTTAAATTATTATATTTTATTTTATTTGACTTGGTTTGATTTGACTTCATTGTTTTGTTTTTCTTTATTTTATTTTAAATTATTTAATTTAATTTAATTCAATTTAATTTAATTTTATTGTTTTTTTTGTTTTATTTGATTTGATTTTATTTTATTATTTTGATCTTTCTTTATTTAGTCTTATTTTCTTTTAACTAATTTCTTTTCAACTCCCATTTCAGCTCATTTGGTTTAACTATCACATTTCAGTTCCATCTCAGCTCGTTTCATTTCATTTCGCTTTCTTTTACTTTCCCACTCACCAATCTTGTGCGCGCTGTAGATATTCTCGATGGAGAATATACCGCCGAGCCCGAAGAGCAGCACTTTAGCCAATGCGGGCGCCAGCTGCGTCTGCGTCACGAGCACATTCACACAATTCTCGCGCTGCGCGATCATATTCAGACACTTCGTGGCCAGTGAGGCCCAGTTGTCGGTAGCCATTTCAATGTCCGAGCGTATTTGCAGCCAGGCGTCACGCTTTTCAGGACCCAGCAAGCCACCAACGCTGAAAAAATAACAAAAGCAAATTAATTTTTTTCGATCTTTCACAAATACATACATGACAGTTTACTCACTTCCCTCTGTAGGTGTTGTAGATCTCCTTGATTTTGCGATATCTGAACGCCAGCTTGCGCATCCAGTCGACACCGCCACGTACGCCAGTTGGCAGGCAAAGATTTGGCGGCGCGCCGGGTGGCGCACCCGAATGGAAACCGTCCGTCGCAAAGTTGTAATTGCTCAAATCCTGACCATTATCATCGGAGGACACATCATCGATGTGCACCTGATCGCATTCCTCAATTTCGTTGAAGAAAAAATGCGTATCGGCCATGTTGAAGACCATCTCTTCCATGCGGAATGCGATCGTTAGCAGCGTGCTTTGGTCTTTGGTGTAGCGATTGGCGAAGGAACCGGAGAGTAGCGTATGGAAAATGATGATCGTCTCATCTAGATCCCAGATAAAGACGCGTTCAGGCGGCTTAGCCGCATCACTGTTTGGTGTGTCCGAAGTGGTGCTGCGCGTTGGACTCGGCTGCTGATGACGTCGTCCGCGTGAGCGCCCACTTTTGCTGGTAGGCGTACTTTTGGTGTGCGCCGTTGCCGCCGCAGTGTTGGAATTAGAGTTCAGCGCCGCGGCATTGGCATTCGGTGAGATCGGCAGCGGCGAGTGTGGTGAATGTGTGGCGTGCAGCACAGGCGTGGTCGAGTGCGTATCGGTGGGACTTTCCGATAAATTGGAGGCGCCCACATGGAAGCCGTGGCTAGCCGCACTCGAACTGGGCGAACTTACAGCCGCATACGGCGAGTAGCTGGCCGGGTTGTAATAATTTCCATACTGATCGTTGTAGTAGCTACCGTAGTCCTGCTGCGCGGCTGCTGCGGCTGCTGTACCAAATTGCGCAAAGTTGTTGTAGCCATAGGCGGTTGGATACAGTTGCGAGGAGTTGTTATTGCCGGTGGCTGTCGCATACGACGACGTTAGGTATGGTGAACTGGGCTCGATTTTAGTGGCAGCACGCGCTGCTGCAGTGGTATATGGCGTGCCATAGGTGGAGTAGAATGGCGGCGTGTACTGCTGCATGCTATTGTAATAGTTGTAGTAATCGTGTTTGCTGGTGTCGTAAGCAGCCGCTGCGGCTGCTGCTGCAGCTGATGAATTCACCGCCGCCATGGCCGCGCTGGAAGAGGAGTTTGCGCCAATACCTGCGACGCTGCTCTCCATGCCGCTCAGACTTCCGACGCCAACCGAAGAGCAACCATAAATTGAACTGTTGCCCGGTGTACTTCCATTGCCGCTGATGGCACCACTACCATCCAAGCGCTGTGTAGCGCTGTTTCCGCCCATAGATGATTGGCTCTCAATACCACTGTTGTTGGCATTCACACTGGATGCAACGCCACCACCACCGCTGTTATTCAGCCCAGGACTGCGATTCTCCGACTTCACCGATGCCAAATGTGGCTCCGCTGGGAGCCAATGAGGCATACCTGTGCTGGCCGCGCCACCCACCCCCACACCAATACCACCACCTAGCTCCGCATGAGAATGTCGGCCTGCGCTCGAAGCACTCGCATTACTTAGGCCTGCTGGCCCATCGACGCCGCTCGAGGTGCCGTCGGTTGTCGCATGGGGATGCTGATATGTGGAAAAACTGCTGCCGGGCGATTGGCTGAATGGCGCAGTTGCGGCGGCACTAAGCGAAGTGTAGGCGCTTAACCCCGACGAAAGGCTGCAGCTGGAATTCAAGTTGGGCGGCGTATTATAATGACTGCTAAGTGATGCCAGTGAAGTGATTGTTGGCTGCAGTGGCTGCGACTGTGGCGGCAACGTTAGCGGGCTGCATTGACCAGACGTTGCGGAAGTGACCGCAGTAGCTGTGCCCAGTGGCGATTGTGAGTGAGGCAGGGAGTGAGGATGAAGTTGTGAGGAGTGGTGTTGCTGCTGCTGCGACTGATGTTGCTGTTGTTGCTGCTGCTGCTGATGTTGAGGCGTTTGAGCGGTGGTTTGAGAGCAAAGGCTGGAAGAGAAAGTAATTGAGCCGATCAGATTGGTGCCGAAATGTTTTTCTTGAGAATTAAATACTTTTTACATATTAAAAAAAATAAATTATAATTTTTTCTGAAAAAGTTCTAAAAGTTTGTGTAAAAAACACTTCTTGCAAAGGCAGAAATCGAAAAATGATTTGAGAATATACAACATTAGTGTCCGGACCGTCAATGTGCAAGGTGCCTCTGCACCGGAAGAACTGAAACTCGATTCGAAAAGAACCGAAAAACAGTTTCGGAAGAACTGAAACTTGATACCCAAAGGACCGAAACTCGATTCCAAAAGAAACGCAAAACGGTTACAGAAGAACAGTTCCAAAAAAACCGCAAATTGCATCCGGAAGAACCCAAACTCGACTCCAAAAGCACAGAAAAACGGTCTTGCAATAACCAAAACTCGATTCCAAAAGAACCCAGAAACAGCTTCGGAAGAACTGAAACTTGATACCTAAAGGACCGAAACTCGATTCCAAAAGAACTGTTACAGAAGAACCGAAGGTCGATTCCAAAAGAACCGAAAAATGATTCCGGAAGAACCGAAACTCGATTCCAAAAGCACCGAAAAACGGTTCCGCAAGAACCAAAACTCGATTTCGAAATTCCGGAAAAAAATGTATTGTTTTGGCATAAAACATCGAAAAAATCATGTTTTGAAATAGAAACATTACTTTGGTTTAAATGAAACCTTAACGTGGAAAACGCTTAGGTAAATTTAATTTCGTTTATTTTATCTTTATAAAATTTTGACTACACAAATACATATCCACTAAGTAAGAAATTAATGTAATATATTTCTTTATTTTCATTAATTTACTTTAAATAAATAAATAAATTATAAAAGAAATTGAATTTTTGTAAAAACTCTTTGAAATATTTTGTCAGACTATTTCGATTGGGCCAATTTCCGTTGCCAACTTTTTGAGAACCGGAGCCTATCCAAATTCCTGGTTCTCTTTGGATTCGGACTTAACAGGACCGGTTCTTTAAATAATCGGCACCGCGCATCACTTCTGCCTATGTGAGGCTTTTACTGCCCAGCCAGTCCTATCCAACTATTTACTAGCGATGCAAGATCGAAATAAAAAATAAATCGACTTTTGAATCGATTCGAATCGAAATAAAAATAAACGATGCACGAAGGAATCGTCAAAAAAAAAATCGATCTCCCAAGAGTATGTATGCAATCAAATGACGCCTTTTACTACATTTTTATATAAAATCAAACCACAGCGATCTGACCAAACTTTTATTGAAAGTAATTTTTGAAACATAAATGCATTGTTCATAACAGTTTATTTGAAAAAAGTGTAAGATTAGTTTTTTCTATATAAAGGCAACGATATGCTTAATGTTGAACATAGTCATTAATTTTATTTTATTTTTTCATTTAATGACTTGTAAAAACTGAACGTTAGCCCTATTGAAGAAAACTGTTAAGTTTTTTCGAAATTTTGTTTGTTTTCTTTTTTTTTTTTTGATCACAAATCGAAAAAATTGTGTTTTTTTCAAAATTGGCCACTATTTTAGGAAGTGTATTAGGCAATGGAGCTTTTTTATATTTTTTTTGTTTTCGCTGGCTCTATATTTCACATCTTAATTACCCTTTTAAGAAAAAATTTCTATAAGACTGCATACCGGTGATCGGACGTCTACCACATTGTGGACCACTTTTTGGAGCATCCACCACATCTACCACACAAGGTCCGAAATCTACCACATATTCGCATTTTTGAGTAGTTATAATTTAGCTCCACATGATTTTCTTAATTTTTTAATTTTAAGAGCAAAAATTGTCCAACACTAAACACTATGTGGTAACAAGTAGGGACACGATATGTAACCGAAAGTATCGATATAATACTCATTTAAAGTATCGCTGTAAATACATTTTGACATTTCGGAATTTGGAAAATTAATTTTAAATATTACCACAAGAAGAAATAGTCTTGCCCGATTCCTAGAGTTTTGACGTTTTCATTTTATTTTCTAATACTTTGTCATATAAATGTATCATTATTCACATTAACTTTGTAATGTTCATTTACGATTCGATACGATACAAGGGTTCTGGTACTACATTCCAAAAAATATCGTTTGAAAACTTTCGAGTAAAAAGTATCGGTATCGAATGGCAAATATATCGATATGGTATCATATCGTATCGAAATTCGTGTCCCTAATAACAAGAATGATAGTATACAAGATTTCGCATTCCCGGCGGCGATGAGATTTCTCAAGTAAAAGTGAATAAAGCCGAATGGGAGGAGAACAAAAAACTGTCAAACAGTGAATTTTCTCAAAATTAAATTTTTTGTTGGGAAACGTGATTTTATTGTGTTAAATTGCAAAATATATGATTTATAAAAAGAACTAATAAAGAAAATGTAAAAAATCGGCGATTTTTGTGAAAGTATTAGCACATTACAGTGCATCAAAAGTTTTCTCAACGCGTTGTTGACTTTTACTGGAGGATTGTGAAAATTGGCAAACCATAAATTGAAAGTTTTTTCTAGAGACTCGAATTAAAAAATATCAGTTAAACTGGAACCTTTCAGATTATTTTTTTTAATTTTTGTAAAAAATTTGGTCCGAAACCTGAGATCTACCACATTTTTTCTAAATCTAGCACATTTTTTTCCAGAATCTACCACACAGAATTTTTATTAAGTCCGATCACTGCTGCATACATGCTAAAATTTTTTTCTACAATGAGTAAATAAGGCGATAACATTTTTTATAAAAATTTGCAAAATGTTTGGAATTTGGAATTTTTGGAGTTTTTGTTGTTGAATTCTTTGGTCTTTTCTCTCTCAAGTTATTTTTTTGTACCAGCCTCAAATTAAAATTTCTTAAAAATTTTATAGTTTTCCTGGGCAAACTAGTAGCTCCATATGCATTAATTGAGGAAAAATCGAATGTCATCTCTCGAATTTTTTGAATCGATTCACAGCTCGAATCGGATTTAATCGATTTAAAAACGGCATCTCTACTACCTACCCACATTGAAGTAAATTATTTTTCTCAGCTTCATTAGCATTTAAATGAAATTAATCACAAAAAAAAATCGATTAGCCAAGGCTTATATTCTACATCCTGATAACTTATCCTATTGCACATGCAAATACATATGTATATATTTCATTGTTGATTTCAATCCAGATAAACTACAAAATACAAAATCGAAGTTAATTTGAACTAAAATCCCACTCTTCTAAATGAGCTAATAAATTCAAAATTATTACCAACAATTCTCCGAACTGCTAGTGGAGTGGCACTGAACTATGAGAAAAAAACAGGCAACAGGCAGTAAGAAAGAACAATAAATGAAAATAAATAAAACTCATAAAGGTTAAAACTCAGAGAAATAGAAAGAAATATAACACAGGAATAAATACAAAAAAAAAAAATAAAAAATTTACAAAAAAGAATAAAAGTAACCAAACGTTGGAAATGTCACCAATGACGGCGACCAAAATGAGCAATAAAAAATCAATAATTCCTCGGACAAACATAAAAATCAACATAAACGTTAACAACAAGAACAATAACAACGAAGCACGAAGCAAAAGGCTAAAATAGTAACAACAAAATTTGTAGTCATGCGTAGGTTAAGTAAGAAAAAAGAAAAACTAAACGAAACTGAAAGCTGAAAAGGAAATTAAAAATAAACACTTGAAAATCACTGTAAAACAGTAAAGTCAAGTGTCCTATTGTTAGGCGTAGCAACAATAAACGGAAATTCATATGTAAATACGCAGATGTGGCTACCTACCCTACAGGAAAGATGAGAACAATTGTCCACAAATTACAACCAAAAGCATATTTGTTTTGTAACCAGACCAAAAATAGTATTAAAACCAGGGCTGCAACCCGCACCAAAAATCGATGCGGTTCGGTCAGTGGGTCGAGCCACTTAAAAAAAACTTGTACCTGTACAAGAACCGGTTCATGAGTATCTCTGAACCGCGGTTCGGTTCGGTTCGAATGGTTCAATTTTTTAAATACTTATACCCAAGTTTATCTATACATATAATTAAATTTCAACATTTTGTTAAAATTTTGTCTGTCTGTATGTTTGTACGCGCATCACTCCAAAACCAAGGTATGGAATTGAATGCAGTTTTCACCGATCCACTGCTAGAGGTCTAACTTAAAATATAGAAAGAAAGAAAAATTAGGGAGTAGCCACCTGTTTGAAAATTGTAGTTTAAGTAAATTGACCAGATAACATAAATATTGCAATATGGTTGCCAAGAGAAGAATGTTTAAGAAGGCTTACGGCCGCAAATATTTTTGTTGAAGATTGCCACCGGTTTGAAAATTTCAATTCAATTTAATTTAAAAGATATATTGAATATTGCATTATGGGTATCAAACTGGAGAGGTTTAGAAAAGTTTGCTGTAGAAAAATTTTTTGTGGAGGGTTGCGGCCTGTTTGAAAAATGTGTGTTAAATTAAATTGATAAAATAAAAAAAGTATTATAATAAGAGTATCAAACAGCACACTAACACTTTTAAGGCGCAGTGAAGTACGCCGGGTATTTGCTAGATTGTAAAAAAAAATGGTTCAAGTTTAATGGTGAGTAGGGCAATTAAATGATAAAGGCTCCATTTGACCTGTTTCTAGTTTCAATGATATGCAGAATGGAACAATTGGTCACAGTCCAGGGCACGAAATGTTAAATGTAAATAGGACTTTGCGGGCTTTTGGTCGAAATGAGTCACGGGTTATAAGAATTTAGGTCGATTTAGTATATTGAGTATTCTTTACGGTTATTGACTCGGTTTTTCCAAACCGTTTTTTTTTTTTTTTTTTTTTTTTTGATATCTATGGGCGTTTTTTTTAATCTTAATTTTTCGAGTATCGAATAAACCGGGTTTATATCGAATAAACCGGGTTTTTTTTTAATCGAACAAGCCGATTTTTTTTTCATTTCATAAAAATCTTGACCTCTCAGTAAAGGTTTTAAGT